CTAGCCACACTGGACAACGGAACATATAAACTAAGTTAACTGCTTGGTATTGCAGCCCCCATGGAAAACCACGAAAAAAGGTTGGCACGTACCTATAATACTACTATGCGAGCGGCTCTTTGTCATGACGAGATGCATCTAGTACTGGATATGGCAGCATCTGCAACGCATGCCTTGCCATCCAAAATATTGGTCCATTATTTAAGTTGCAAAATTTTGCAAGTTTTTAGAGCATCTCTGATCAAAACTAAATATAATCTTACAACCTTACAAGTCAGTGCCTGGCACACAAATTTGAAGAAAAATGGTTTTTCAACGACTGCTTTGTAATCGATCGATCTACATGTAACTCTATATGACAACGCTACTGCAAAGCTAACTTCGCCGCTGCCTCTCGATACTCCGGAAATCGAGTGGCATACGAATACTTTGAATTCAGCAATTTAGTATCGGCATGCATATGAGGAACCTGCAGCGTTCCTTGTGGTAAAAATGACTGGAATCTCAGCAAACGACTCGGTTTCTTTCGAGTATGTCAAAGTAAAGAAGATGCGAATAGGTACCCCTTCAACTAAGTACATTAAAATACCACAGGGTGTGTCTGTCTACTACCAGCGATGTTGACTTAAACATGAAAGTGAACAAACTCGGCCCTAAGAATGTAAGCAGTATAAAAGCAGCTGCCGTGTAAAAGTGGGCAGTACATCATCGGTTTAAAGGCATCTCGTTTGAGGCTTATACTTGTCATAGCTTATTAACATCTGAAATATAAAGGCGGTTGCAATGCAGCTGAGCGACGTGCGGTGTGACGAGAGTACGTCCACAAAGAAAAACTGAAAGACCGTAGGACCGCAGTAAGACCCATACTTTCGTACAGCGCAAACTGTTGAACCACAGTGAGAAGATACGAACAGCGGCTTAGTTCTGTAGAAACACGTATGTGCAAATGAATCTGTTGTAAAAGGATCAAATAACTTTACAGCGTACGCAATAACCAAAAGCTGACAGCCAGCAGACTATTATTTCAGCCAAGCAAAAGAAGACCGTACGTAAGCACTGTGGTTAAAAAACTCTGATGGTAACAAGAGAGAGAATAAAGATAGAATCAGAAAAAACGGAAGCACGAAGCTGGGAATCACGACATGAAACTGCGCGAGTTTACTGGACTTCAACGAGGATCAGAGAATGTGGTCGAGATGGACTAATAAAGCGGAATCATGCAAAAATGATCATGCTAGAAAGAAGCTGCTGAATCACTTAAGTTACTTACCAGCGCATAAACAAAACAGAGAAAACATACAGAAGCAAAGCACCCAAGAAACAAAACCATAAAGCAATTCAAGCAATTAATATTACGTCGGTAATTAGTACGTTAAAATGAACACAATATATTAGGACTACATAATTTGCACGCTTACTTATAACGCGTTGAATGTGCGAGCAATCGATTTCCCTCCTTGCAGAATTCACTTCTCATGTCAGTTTTCTGATTTAACATTCACTCCTGTTCTCTGCAAGGATTGCTGTGCACAATTGGGGCTACTGTATGCCGCTACCTTAACTGAGCAACGAACTCACCAACCACTCTAGCAGAGGCAGCCAACCGAGAAACGAGTGCCACATCTAGACGATGGATAGAAACTAATACAATCCAGTGTCCTGCAGCTGTAATGTCCGTGCAGCGTCTATTCAGGCTCAGATGTTTGGTGAACACGTCTTAAAAGGCTGCAATGTACGCTGACTCGCCTTATGAGTTAGGTGACCATTTCAACAGTCAAAACAACGCTGAATAGTAAACAGGAACAAGAAATGAATCAAACGTGTCAAGGAGATAAAGTAGTAAACAGTGATCACTTCCGACTGAGTAAAGTGACACACTAATCTGACCGAATCTGCAACGAAGGTCATTGTAAAGTAAGTGAAAAATTTCGGCAGTTAAATGCCCTTGCAAAAATTTAATCGCTATACGTGTTAACGGTTAAGTCATGTGACAAGACCAGGGCTGAGTAGGGTTGAGTGGTCCTAAACGATCAGACAGAAGTAACTGACACGTCATTTTTAACAATGCTACGCAAATTAAATAATTGCGAACAACGATGCCGATGGTGCGATGGGGCTCTAGCTGGTTTAGCCACATTTCGAGCTAGCAAGAAGCCGTTTGCCGGTAGTTATACTCTCGCCTCGTCAACAGGATATCCGAAAATCCAGTTCTGTACATCTTCACCCTGAACATCTGTAACATCAGTAAATTCTAGCGTGGCGCGTTTTTTTATATATTCAGGAGATATGAGTGAAAATGAAGTTTTCTTAGGCGCCCTCAGCTTCGCTAACCTGACCAACGACCAAACAGCTTTGGCTTGAACACCATTCGGTACGACTACGTCCGACGAGACCTAGTACAAATGCTCAGTACATAAAATCACCCATCGATAAAACCCACTCAGACAGAAGTGTACATGTATACACACTAAATATTTTCAAAACATAAAAGATAGGTGCCGACGACAGTAAACATGATACAAAACATACCGATTACATTGTCTTGGTGCTCACTGTAGTAATCATTACGGAACCACTTTACATAATTTATGGGGATATCAGACATGGTCCTAGAGTTTTAGTGAGCTTGCTTTAGGCGCAGTTCCTTCATACCTTCTTTTAAGGACGAACTCACTTCTTCCTGGCACTGCCAATGATAACGGAAAGCGGACAAAGGAAAATGTTCAAAACGAAATTCGACAGCTACAGATCGATACTGCAGCAGCAATTCCAGGCTACATTTTTTCAGACGTCTTCCTGGTGAGACTGAGCCATTTTCGGTAAAACGAGATCGAAGTTTGCCGCTCAACAGAGGGCACAATCCTGAGTTTACCGTTGCACTTTTCAGATAGATACCCTCCTTCGAAACAACTGAGAGGGAAAACCGGTCTGAGACTCATGCTCAAACTTATACCACGTTGGGTTTGGGTTGAGCTAAAACTAGTCGAAAACCAAAATAATTTCTCCGAACTACCTATATACAATGAACCCAACAGAATCTATATGTTGCAGATGTAGAACTGAAGCCAGGTTTGACGTAGACAGATCTGGCGAATCGATCTACGTGGTCCTCACGGGAATGCGCTACCGATGCTCCGCTGGTGCTTTCTTCTATGCGATTTACACAGCGACATTAGTATAAATGTTCAGATATTCAAGGTCTCTCATACCGATTCATCACATGGTCGTAAGTTACAAGGAGGTACGCGGTGCATAAATTTTTACCGACCTGGACTTTGCGCTCCCATCCTTTCTTCAGCGTTCTTTCCATTCATCCTTTCATATTTCAATGACACTGTGAATAAGATGAGCCTGCATTTTTGAATTTCATAGAAGATTAAACCACTGAACCTGGAAAGGAGCGTACCTACTACTGAGGTTCAAATTGATTCCCAAACAGCTGAATACAGGTGGCGCAACTCGGCTACCTCGGAAATTCACAGAGTTCGTGAGGACGCTGCAAACTTGAGGTGCTTCGTCGTCTAGTCTCGCCGATTCGACAATGAAAGCCACTCCGCGCCTCACGTCGCATCATCTCAAAACATGGTCTAGCAGTCCTGTATTTTGTCTCTGTTGCAGTAAAGAGCAAACTTAAACGCGGCAAAAGATATATCACTGAAACGTTCAGAGCCTGGACGGGACAAGTTAGCGGTGACTCTTCAATATCGAGTCAGTTCCTACCAAACGTAACCGTCACTGAATTCATTGAACTACCCTTCATCAGGAACGTAATCAGCCGCTGCGAAAACTGTAGGCACTGATAATCTGACCATATGGCCAAATTATCAGTGCCTACAGTGCCTTTGCAGCTTAGGTAAACATTCGCCATGGAGCTTCGCCACCGAGTTCCTGGTGATGATCCGGAGGCAGACCGCAGGAGACATGAATGATAATGCTTGCTAATGCCAATACATTGAACATGGATTAGTTTAAAGCTG